AAGATACAAGACATCATATCAATTCCTCAATATTGGAATTTGCAAAAGAATATGGGATGGAAAATTAAACTATAGAGGCCTGGGGGGTAACTAATATCTATTCCATACAGCCCAGTGCTAACATCAACGGTAAAGGCCTTCTTTTTTTTCAATTGTATGTTTATATTGTTGGACTTTCAATCAATTTCATTGGGAAGTTTGTTTTGAAGACTTTTTTACTGTTTTCTGCTGCAAGCTGACTATAGGAACCATATATATACACAATTCTGCCCTATAAAGATAAGTATGTAATTACTCAGGCCTGACTTCCACTGACACAGGAATGTTCCCTATAAACAAATCATGGATTACCTAGAGCCGAATATTCAGAATATGAATTTTTACCAAGTAAACAAATAAACATACCCCCCGGGATAAACATACCCCTTGGAAAATTTCCAAAATGACTGGTAAATTGTTTTCTTGCTTCTAAAATGTGCTCTCACTGGTGTATATGCAAACTTTTCACTGTTCCTTGTAATTAGAAATATAAATGGAAAACAAATAATGCATTTCTAGCAATATACTTCAAATCCCTGTTTGAAAGGCTGCAAGATGTAATGAAATAGCAAACCAATCACAACCAGAGTCTGGGAAACTGCACAATACATACAAATACATACAGCTCTATCGACAACAAAGAAATCACTGACTATGCAAAATTTATATTTAACTGCTTTAACCGCAGAGATATTGCACTGAAAAAAACGCCAGCTGCCCCAAAATAATCACTCAATTTTACATTTCTTGTATTTTTTTTATTTTTTGTTGTTGTCTAATTGTCTAATTGTTTACTTTAGCTTGTTATTTTTTTAGCTAGCTGTTCTTTATTTAAACAACATTCCTTATTGTATTATTTAAATCAATAAAGTTATTTACTTACTTTACTTACAAAAATGTAGATATGAGCAGCTTCACCAAATTTAAAAATATTCTTTCCACCATAGTTATGACTCTAATGTGATTTTCCACTCCTTAGCAATAGTAGCTCGTGTAGTGTATTGTATTGTACTGTACCGTACCGTACAAGTTTATTGTGATTCTATATGTGTTTTTATATTATTTTGCTTTATTTAGCATTCTGTTTAGTTGATTAACTTTAATGTATTTTAATGTACATGTATTTTTTTTTTATATACAACCATAGAATAACTCACTGTAGTTTGTTTTAGTGTTGAATAAATATTATAATTAAATCATGGTACAATGGTGACGTATTGTGCGAAATTGTTGCAAGGACAATAATTTTCTTGATTTGTGTGCCATAGTGCGTTGATAAAAAAGACACGGAATGGTCGGCAGTATCTATAAAGTTCGTCTAGGGTGGCCCTCGTGGCTGGCGAAAAGCAAGGTACCGTATAATATTATAAATAGGCGTCAAGGAGGAGTGAAAGGCCTAAATTTGGTTCTATAATGGGCGTCACGAAATGTTGGAAAATTAGAGTCAATCAAACAAAATTTCACATGACAACAAAAATACTCAGTATATTTAATATGCATTAGTTTTTTAATTTTGTTGGTAATGAAAAAATATATTCTAAAAGAAGTTTTGAATAAAAACAAACATTGCTTAGTAGCAAATGATCACGGTAACATTAGCGCAATCCGGTCATGCTGTATTTCACAAGTGAATAACTTACTGTTTTCGAAGTGTTGCAATTGTTGATTAGTACTCAGTTGTGATTATTATAACGTACAAAAAATAAATTCGTTGAATTGTTATGAAATGCAAGTACAATTCAAATTAGTTTCATCGTAAGCGATCGATTTTAGTCACATGTAAATGCTCGATGCGATACGATATCCGCCATGTTATCCATGCCCATGAGACGTGTTTATTGACCGGATAGGTCAAGTCGCTAATCAACCAATCAAAATGCTGGATGGTGCTCACGTGTTCAAATTACCATAGGGCATTTAAATATGTTAATGGTAGTTCAGCGACCTCATGGTAAAAGTAACATGGGAGAGATTTACCGATGTTTTAGTGCGATATTTTGGCTTCGTTTTCCATGGGAATATGGCATTATTTTTGTTTTTAAATCAGGATTTTTTTTTAATCGTACCGGCCCAAATAGAAATGTACTGTGTGGAATTTTTTGGGGAAAAAAATAAACGTACCGGTACGTTTATTTGGGACATGAGAGTACTTGTGTATTGATACAGAGATCTAATCATAAGTCAGGCTGTTTTTGGGACAGACATCAAGCATTTTCACTACCTGGACAACATCACTGGTGAAAACAACGGTCAAATACTCATGGAAAACTGTACTGTATGTGGACACATATATCAATTTTGTTGTTCAGGATTGCCGCAAAGTTGGCTCTGCATACCATATCAACATAGAACGTTCAGTGACATAGCTGTGCCCCACGAATACAAGGGTCAGGGGTCAAGCGTGGCATGACAATCAGTAGAATATCAGATGGGTTTTAGGCCAGACCACAGTCCCTCTATCATAGATAGAGGGACTGTGGCCAGACCAATTCTTACCAGGAGCAGAACAGTTAAAGGCTTCTGGACCAATTCGTGACTTGCCGGTCTCTTCTGCAATCAATGCATATTCCAACACACTCAGTCCACTTATACCAGGTAAAAACAGATTCCAGAGTCCCTGTGATCTGGCCTTACTCTGAAAAACAAAATTTTATATAATTTACTATGATCATCGATGATTACAACCACTATAATAGCATTCTTCACATGGTAACCATCAATATGACGACAATCATCACCATGGCCATTATCTTGACATATGTGACCACTACCACAACCAACACAAACATATGCATCACTACCATATAACCACCACTACCATGGCCATCATTGTAACAATATAGTCACTACTACCATGGCCATCATTGTAACCATATAGTCACCACTACCATGGCCATCATTGTAACAATATAGTCACTACTACCATGGCCATCATTGTAACCATATAGTCACCACTACCATGACCATCATTGTAACCATATAACCACCACTACCATGGCCATCATTGTTACCATATAGTCACCACTACCATGGCCATCATTGCAACCATATAGTCACAACTAGCATGGCCATCAGTGCAACAATATAGTCATCACTACCATGGCCATCATTGCAACCATATAGTCACAGCTACCATGGCCATCATTGTAACCATATAGTCACAACTACCATGGCCATCATTGCAACCATATAGTCACCACTACCATGGCCATCATTGCAACATATAGTCACCACTACCATGGCCATCATTGCAACCATATAGTCACAACTACCATGGCCATCATTGTAACCATACAGTCACAACTACCATGGCCATCATTACAACCATATAGTCACCTCTACCATGGCCATCATTGCAACCATATAGTCACAACTACCATGGCCGTCATTACAACCATATAGTCACCACTACCATGGCCATCGTTGCAACCATATAGTCACCACTACCATGGCCATCATTGCAACCATATAGTCACGGCTACCATGGGCATCATTGCAATCATATAGTCATCACTACCATGGCCATCATTGCAACCATATAGTCACCACTACCATGGCCATCATTGCAACAATATAGTCACCACTACCATGGCCATCATTGCAACAATATAGTCACCACTACCATGGCCATCATTGCAACCACATAGTCACTACTACCATGGCCATCATTGCAACCACATAGTCACTACTACCATGGCCATCATTACAACCATATAGTCACAACTACCATGGCCATCATTGCAACCATATAGTCACCACTACCATGGCCATCATTGCAACCATATAGTCACCACTACCATGACCATCATTGCAACTATATAGTCACAACTACCATGGCCATCATTACAACCATATGGTCACCACTACCATGGCCATCATTGCAACCATATAGTCACCACTACCATGGCCATCATTGCAACCATATAGTCACCACTACCATGGCCATCATTGCAACCATATAGTCACCACTACCATGGCCATCATTGCAACTATATAGTCACAATTACCATGGCCATCATTGCAACCATATAGTCACCACTACCATGGCCATCATTGCAACCATATAGTCACCACTACCATGGCCATCATTGCAACCATATAGTCACCACTACCATGGCTATTATTGCAACCATATAGTCACCACTACCATGGCCATCATTGTAACCACATAGTCACCACTACCATGGCCATCATTGCAACCATATAGTCACAACTACCATGGCCATCAATGTAACCATATAGTCACCACTATCATGGCCATCATTGTAACCACATAGTCACAACTAGCATGGCCATTATTGCAACCATATAGTCACCACTACCATGGCCATCATTGTAACCATATAGTCACAACTACCATGGCCATCATTGCAACCATATAGTCACCACTACCATGGCCATCATTGCAACCATATAGTCACCACTACCATGGCCATCATTGAAACCATATAGTCACCACTACCATGGCCATCATTACAACCATACAGTCACCACCACCATGGCCATCATTGCAACCATATAGTCACCACTACCATGGCCATCATTACAACCATATAGTCACCACTTATTTACCATTTAAATGTGATAAGGAAAAGAGTCACCTCTTTTTAGAAAATATGATGTCCAATAAGGGGATAAATATGATAAATCAGGTTCTAAATTCTAGTACAGAATGTGTAAGTGATATTATCGAAAATCTGTATAATGGGCAGCTAGTGATTTCAGGAAATGTGCATATTGTGGCAAATGTGTTCACAGGCAGCCATACTCGACCTGGTTTAATACACATTGTATGTCAGCTAAACGTGATATGTACTCTGCATTACGTAAATTGATGATGCATGATGATCTTGAGAGCTTACAAAATTATAAAACATTAAAGGTAGCTTTTATAAAGGTATGTGAAAAAACAAAAAGCAAATTCAAACGTGATGTAAGAATTTACAAGAAGTAGATAGAAATGATTTGTGGAAATAGGTCAAACGGTTCACGGAAGTCAGTAAGCATTGTCCAAACATTGCACCGACAAAATGGCTGCAACATTTTGGAATACTTTACAACCCTGAAAGACAAAAGTCACCTTTAGATGCCACAGTTGAGCAATATTTAGAAGATTTTGATTACGCGGGCAATAGTCAGGATGGCAGTATAGATGAAATTTTGAATGGGAAAATTTCAGAAAACGAAATTTTACATGCACTGAAAAAACTAAAAAATGACAAATCGCCTGGACCAGATGGCATTCCCAATGATTTTTATAAAGCTGCCAAAAATATACTTGTTCCCGTTCTAATGTTTATGTTTAATGTTATTTTTGACACTGGA